CCAGTTGTACGCTGTAATCAAATGTACCAGCTTCAGCTCGCCAACGTATTTCAGCACAGCCCGATCCGTAGGTGTGCCAGAGGTCGAGTGGAAAGCGGCCAGTGTCAACCCCTCTCCAGGCCGACCTCCAATTTACACAAAATGCACTCTGCGGAGGCTGGGACCGAGAGATGTGCTGGGTCGTCAGAGGTGCACGAATAAACAGCCCTGTTCATTTTGACCAATACATAACCGAAATATTCCCGTTTTTCATAATTCGTTTGTAGCAATCAAAAACCGTAAATCATCGCAAGCGTATTGCTTTGCCTCTTTAGAGTAATAACTTGACTAAGCTCGGAGCCGAACATTTTCAAGTCATGATAATTGAAGATAAGCGCACGAATGCTACCTCTGTGAGGCTTTGTCGCTCTCGTCCCAACAATCTCATGGATACCTGGCCTCGATATCTTAGTTTTGACATAATCTGCGAAACGACCGACTGCTTTCATTTACGTCATTTCCTCGCTCACCCGACGCCGAAACAGGTGTGTTGCCTGTTAGGCTATACCTATGTGTCTCGGTCGTGGCCAATATACAATACAAATATTTGAGTTTTCCACAACACATGTTTACATCTATTTTGGCTATTCCGAACGAAGCGGTGAATTAGGAAAGCAGGGCGGATGCGTCAGATCCTGTCCTGTGTTCTGGCTGTTCACCGCCTCGTAGCCTTGGACTATTTGGGTCCACATGAGCGACCCTTGACCTCAGAGGCGGCCGGGGAGCACCACGACCAGCAGGGATCCGGGACAACTAAGAGCTGAAGAATCACCGTGAACTACGTAAGTTGTTCAGGATATTCGCGAGAACATTACTCACATGGATAAGACAGAAGTAATAGCCTGTAAATAACCGGAGAAAAACCAGGAGAATGGATAGATAGATTGGTTGATGCTTCACCAGCATGCCCTTATCGAAACAATTGCAGAAAGCTTTGGAGTGCCCAGTTCTGCGGACGGGGCCCCTGAATACGACCTCCGGCCGGCCTCTCGGCTGCTCTTCTGCTATTGTTTCGATAAAGACATGCTGCCGAAGTATCAACCAATCTATTTCTCCATTCTCATGGTTTTTCTCCGAAGAATAAGGCTATTACTACTCTCTTATCTATGATCACCATGAACATCTTTACGCCCGAAACTAGATGCCGTTCAGGTCCTTTTAATGGCCCGAAACGGCAAAAAGGTGGCTACGCGGGAAAGAATAGAGACCCATATCATGCCTCGCATGTTGTTAAGCAATGATGTTGTCATCTACAACGCAACATCGTGGTTAATGCTTTCAAATGCATGTCCGATACGTTAATAATTTCAAGATCTAACATGTGCTTATTTCTTAAGTTTGCGTGCCATTTGGAATGACATTTCGTTGTTTTCAAGAGCGCTCTAGCTGTCAAATTCAACTACGAATATGCCAAAACTCAATTGAACCACAAACTGGCCGGAGGTCCGCAAGTTATCTAGGAGCCGCGACGGTCAAAAGCCTCCAAAGGGTAAAAGAAAACGAAAGACCTGAGGCGCCCGAGGAGTTCTGAGGCGGTCGAGCCAGAGGCCACCGCGATGAACAGCTGATTGGCTTGGATCCAAGGCGCCCCGAACAGCTGAGAGGCGTGGAGACCGAGCTGGTCAAGTGACACACATATCGGTCAAGAAACTGAGCCAGGGCCACTGACGAGCGAACGTCCATTAAACCCTAATGACTCGAACGGGGACCCGAAGCGAGCGTGGACCGCCCGGATAATTGAGGTGCCTCCAGATGTCTGAAGGCGCCCGGGACGATGAAAGGCCCCGCAGTACCTGAATCGGCCTTCAACATTTGTGGTCACGCAGTCGTCAAGGCCTTCGACGGGCTCTAAGCCTCCGAAGTGGCCGTACAGTCGGAGAGGTCTGGCAGGTCTCCTCCGGACCGAGAAGGGGTGAACAAGTGGTCGGGCGGGCCTGAAATGATCGCGGCCCACCAGGACAGTCGGCGATCAATAGATGGTCAATGTGACCGACGTATGGATTCAGGACAGATGGGCTGGTTGGGCCCTGTGCCACCCTCACTTTGTGGAAGTGGGTCATCGGTCCTTTGTTGTATAAAGAAAGGGGCGATATTGACAGAGGTTTTCTGCTTCATCCGGGACGTTTAACATCTATGCATGTGGCTCTCGGGTTGATCCAGAGCCCCTAACTGCGCCAAGGGCCCTTGATACACAAGAGATCCGGAGGCAGAATATACATGCCCGGGGAAAACCAGAGATTGCGAGAATATCAGACGGCCTAAGCCAGTCCAGTATGTCCTTGATTACCAGAGCATTCCTAAGAAGATAGGCGGCCAGGCACCATCTGAGTGGACAGGTTGTATATGCTTTCGATTTATTCATCGCAATATGCGTGGAATTTTTCATCAAGGGCTCATTCATATGCAGAGCCAAAAGCTGCAATTACTTTGATGAAATCGCTGACAGCACTATATTCAAACGTGTTTAGCTTCGTTACACAGTCATTCACAGCGGTTAATGAATAAAAATAAACTTTTCATCAGCTTGCTTCGTCTCCGAAGTTAGTTAAACTGTGCCACTGTATCTTTGAAGCCGGTGTGGCAACTGCCACGTCTGCCATGCCGCATCTTCTCCCCCCCCCCCCCCCGCCCCCCTGCGCTCACCACCCAATCAGCAATAACAGGCGTCGTCCGATTGTCCGGCGGAAATGGCAGTGCGGATGAGATTGTCAGGCGTGCGTGCTGAGGCATAGGAAACTTGATTACTGTGCCAGTATAGCAGCACCACACACGTCAACACGCCCTGTGTCTGGCCGCCGCGTCGCCAGTCCTGCACCGTGTGACGGGCCCCGAGGCGGCGGGTCACCCGGGCTCTCTCGGACCGAGGCGGACAGCCTGGGGCCAGTGTGAGGTAGCGGTCGGCATGGGGCTGCAAGGTATGACGCAGCGATGTAGTGACTTGCCTGGCACGTTAGCGAGGAGTTCGTGGTGAAGTCTGGTAAGATGCGTAATATCCCGATGAATTGACGTGTGTAGACGACAGATTGAGCCTGTTCAGGCCGTTGTCTGCGCCCGGTGTGTAGCAATCTGCATTTCACAGAACATATGCCTAACGATTTGTTAATGTATGAATTCTCAAAGCGTAGCGAACTGCTGCCTTTCAAGCAGCACCTGGAATGAAACACGAAGGAGAGACGGGCGGATCCTGCTTCACAGTATACATACTGGACTGGAAGCTCCCCTCGGCCGCAGTCCCCGTCGACCCTTCGCCCTGACCCGGCGCCGTCGCCCCGGACCAAGCAACAGTGACCTGACACCCACCTCGAGCGGCCGCCACCAGCGCCAGCAGCAGAGCGCAGAGTCTCGCGGGCCGCATCTTCACGCGGTGGGCGCCGCACGCACTGGCGGCCGGCCGGAGGAGACGAGTCGCCCCGGCCGCGACCTTCCCGGCGGCGCCAGAGGCCGGGCCTCGGGGCCGCGCCGCATAAACAGCGGCCACGCGACGCACGCCGTCCGCAGACGCACTCATCTGGGTCAGCGGCGTCGGGTCGGGGGCAGCCGGGCCTGGTCCGGGTGGTCAGCGACGCCGCGTGACCGGCGCCGACGGTGTGGGGGTCGCGCTCGGACGGACGGGGTCTGAGGAGGAGGCGGAGGCGGACCGAGGTCAGGGTCAGCGTAGGAGTAAGCAGGTGACGGGGTGTCGTGTCCGGAGTAGACGATAGCCTCCGAGTGGACATGCATAGTTGGACACCTAGGGCGAACCCAGAGCCCCAAGACGGCTAAGGTTAGAACAAAATAACACGTCTGAACTTAATAAAAATGTAAGCACGTGTTACAACACCCCTTGAGGTAAACAGAAAAGAAATACGATGCTTTCTGAAACTTCAGGACATCTTTTGGTACTTTAATCCTCCCAAGGCAACCAACGTATTCCCCCCCCCCCCCGGCAGCGTTTTAGATACGCCCTTGGTGCTGGCTGCTTGCGAATGACAGCGATGAAGCCTAAGATTAGCGATCATGGTCCAAAGACATCACTATACCCGCCAGCTTACGTTCCACGCTGAATTCACGCCCCAGCATGCAGATTGCATATGCACACGTGTTTGTTGGCACGCATTCTCATAACGAGGCCAAAAGAGATAGATAGCTTTTAACCGCCCCATACGAGAAAAAGCGAGCTTGCATCTTACATGTCGAGGCCCGTTCCCAACGTATATCGCTGCGGCCCGAGTGATGATGAACTGCGCCTATGAACTGGTTTTGCCGTGTACTCCTGTTCGCTTTCAATTATATAGCATAAAACGCACCCCGTCTTTGCATCGGTAGATATGCCTAAAAAGTTAAACAAGGTCCGATAAACGCTGGGGCAGCGTCTCGGGGCAGCAGCATTATGTCACACGAATCCTCGTTCGTGTCGTCACCAGTACATTGGCACCTGCGTTGTGCAGATATTTGTGAAACATAAAGCACCTGGAAAGTAGTTTGCTAGGTGATCAATCCATTTCAGATGATTCTGCTAAGAATTACTTCACCACTCCCATTCATCTTCAGAAGTACCAGAAGTTCCGAAGGCCAAGTTTTCCGCATCTTTCCTCACAGTAGCTTTATTTTCCTTGCCTGAATCGCCAGCGCCACCAACTTACGTGCCAGCGCTGCGCAATTTCGGTGGCGCCCGCGACCCTTTTATCGCGTTTTTATTTGCTGGCGAGACGTACATCCCTAGACAGACGCACCACATGCACGTCATTGGCTTTTGCGGCTTTCAAAGCTAGTCTCATTCTTCGACATTACTTGAAGAATACAAGTTGTGTTCAGAATAAAGATCAGCCCGCGCGGTGCGAGGCAGCAGGGAAATGAGAATGAGAAAAGAGAGAGAAGGGTACAGTTATTAAGTACTTCCCTGCGGTATGTGGTATGCACATAGAGTGCAAAATCCTGAGCGGTAACCCAGCTGCAACAGTGCACATTTCAAAGGACACGGCTCAAAAATATATTCAAAAGCTGCACAGACACATATACACCCTGTAACACCCAAAACACGTGATGTTTATGCGGAGATTGCGGGGCTGACGAGACTGCAGCCAACGTTCGGGAGATTCGGGCCTCACGACATGATCTGTCCTGCAGAGGTGGGCCTAACGAGACTGCAGCCAACGTTCGGGAGATTCGGGCCTCACGACATGATCTGTCCTGCGGAGGCAGGCCTAACGATGGGCCTAACGAGACTGCAGCCAGCGCTCGGGACATTCGGGCCTCATAACGCGAACTGTTCAGCGGAGGCGGGCCTAAGGAGGTTCACTGGTCAGAGTTCACCTCACATCACAGGCCATACGTGATACGGCGGGTGATCCCCACTCCATAAACGCGTGTCCACCTGTTTGTCCACATGGACGTTGTTTCACGGAGGTCGGGTGCACATCTGCCAACGCATGTTTCTTGCCGAATGCGAATGTGGCATAGTTTTCAACAGCTATCGCCGCTCCACACACGCCATGTTGTTTCCTCCCTCTTATGACGTCACCGGTTTTAACACTCGTCAAAAACAGCTCATGAAAACGGGTGAACGGACCGTAACGCGTTCGTTAAGGCAGCTATATTGCGCAGTGGGTAGCGTCCACTAGATATGGAGCCGTTAAAGCCTTACATTATGCACAGTTAGGTAGATATAATTCGATGTAGAATTCTCACAGATTGCCACTCCACCGACGCTCAGCTGATCCTATGGCACAACATGCCTCGATAAACTATGCGCACATGCCGCCCGTAAGCGCACCACACAACTGTCGCACTGAACAAATAAAAGCAGCGTAAACATATCAAAACGTAAACAAAACGCGCCACTCAGAACAAACAGCCACACCGCAAATGCTACCAACGGTCGACTAGGCATCGCCTCCGAGCGCCAAGGTAAATAAAACGAGCGAACTGCACACCTCAGCCCAACTCCGCACTGGCAGTCTAGTCAGCGCACTGGGCTGTCTCTGCGACGGCCCGGGACCGTCCGCCGGGCAGGACAGTGCGAGCGCCCCATAGCCGCACCCACGGAGGCCCGGCGCCGTGAGTCTGCCGCCGGTCTCAGGAGCGTCACAGCACAGAGGCACTGCGTTTGGTCACCGGGACCTGCCGGCACCACGTCCCCGACCGCGGGAGCGTGAAGGCACCGCAGCGCCGCCACTGATGACCGCTGGCAGCTCCGGCCGTTACTGACGCCGACACAGTGGGCTCCGCCCTGGTCTTCCTGTCTGCTGTGCGCGGGCCGGGCCTCCTTCGGTGAGAAGACCAGATCAGGTCCGTCCGATCCAGGTCAGGTCAGGTCAGGCCAGGCACGGTCAGTTGTGCAGCACGTCCGGCCCGGCCACGCCCATGAACAGGCCGTTGACCTGCGTGAAGATCTCGGCGAAGTGCGGCCGGTTCTCCGGCTGGTACTCCCAGCAGCGCAGCATCAGCTTGTACATGGCGTCCGGAGTGCCATCTGGCGCCGGCATCCGGTACCCTGAGTGCAGGCACACGACACGCGTCACAGCGGCGCTACGGGAGCTCAGCGGTTTGTGCTGCCAACGGCTTTATTCCTAAATATCTACGTAGATAAGTCATACACCTTGCCTTGTCGGAGTGACACTTGAATGTTTTAATATGAATTACCTGAGTCGATCATCTCGCGCGCCTTGGTGTTGGAGAGCCCGCTGTAGGGCGACTGGCCGCGACTGAAGATCTCCCAGCTGAGTATGCCGTAGCTCCACACGTCGCAGAGCGAGGTGTACTTGCCTGCCGGAGACCAAACATGGTGCGTGACTAAACGAGGTCACGATCCACCGCTGTAGCCGGCACAACTCAGCAAACAGAGGCAAACAGTCGCCACATCTCGGCGTGTGTACCTGACATGGTCACAAACTGTGGAAACCCGCAAACTGGTGCACAGGAAGGACCTGTGAAACATTTCTAGAATGATTCGGATGTAATATGGACATCAGCTTTGTGAGTCCGCCAGCCGCCATCTGAATGTTTAGTGTGCGCAACACAGCGCCCACTGCACACATTAGCATACAACTGAGCAGCCGTACCTAGCAGGACTCATCCGACCACGCGACATTCCAGCCGCGAGTGCCCGCAGAACGGAGGCGAGGCGCCGCGCCTCGCACCGACTCCTACCGTAGTTGAGGGCCTCCGGGGCGGTCCACTTGATGGGGATCTGCTTCATGCCGTCCGAGACGATGTACTCCTCCTCCTCACGCGACATGCCGAAGTCGGATATCTTCACCATGTTGTGCATGCCTGCCGGCACGAGGCGGCGCTGTCTGGGTCCGCTCGGGCGATCTGAACGGAACGAGGCCTTGCACCACTGGACGAGGACGCGCACCGCGGGACGAGGACTCGCACCACTGGACGAGGGCGCGCACCGCGGGACGAGGACTAGCACAAAGGGACGAGGATCCGCACCACGGGGGCGGGTACGAGACGGAGTCATGACGTCCCAGTGCATGGTCAGAGTGCGGCCCGCCCCGCAAGCCGAGGATATCATTCGCCCTGAACTCATGGCAGGCACCCTACGGATCTATCTGCCAGTGAGGCGACGGCTAACCTAACATCTCAACCCTATCCACGAGTCGCTCAGCTCGGCTGCAGAGAGATGACGTCTTCCCCAGCCAGCCACGCAACGAAAATTCTTGTCGGGCTTTGTTCGCTGTTTACAGAGCACAGGTAGCATGACCGCGTGCGATACCCCCGGGGACTTTAAGCACATCGATACAATCGTGTTCATGTATTCCTGTCCATAGCGCGTACCGCCAGCCTCACTGGCCAGATGCCAACAGTCCGGACTGTCTCCCCGTCCCGCCGCCGCCGCCCCCGCTGCCCTGCATCGCCGACTCTGACCCGCGGCTCGGCGGCACTCACCGACGAGGCAGTTCCTGGCGGCCAGGTCGCGGTGGATGCAGTTCTTTCCCTCGAGGTAAGCCATGCCGGCTGCCGTGTCCCTACACATGGCCAACTGCGCGCCCACGTCCAGCGCGCTCCCCAGCTGCTTACTCCGCAGGTAGCTGAGCAGCGAGCCGCCTGCGGAGACGCGGTGTCACGCGTCACACGGCCGTCGGCCCGCCCGCCCGGCGTCACGGTCACACGACCGTCGGCGGCCGCCCGCGTCACACGTCACACGGCGTCGGCGCCGCCCGGCGTCACGGGTCACACGGTCGTCCGCACCGGCCCGGCGTCACGCGTCACACGGTCGTCAGCGCCGCCCAGCATCACAATCACACGGCCGTCGGTTGCCGCCCGACGTCACGCGTCACACGGTCGTCAGCGCCGCCCAGCATCACACGTCACACGGTCGTCCGCACCGCCCGGCGTCATGCATCATACGGCCGCCAGGCGCCGCCGGCGTCACGCGTCACACGGTCGTCGGCACCGGTCGTGCACCGGCGGAGCACGCGGCGGTGCACGGCGGCTCGTCACGGATGCGCCGGCCGGCACCACCCCCCGTCACAGGCCGCCGTGACGCGGCGGAGCACCGCGCGTCACACGGCCGGCGGCGGGCAGCGCCGTCACGGCCCGTCAACACAGCCGCCGACGTCGCAATCTGTCAACCGTCAACGTCAACCGTCACGGTAACCGTCAACGGCGCCCGTCAACGGCAACCGTCACAGCAAACCCTCACCTCACGCAGGCGTCGCTCACCGGAGCGCATCGCCGCTGGCCCGTCGGCGCGTCCTTCTCCGCGCACGCGCGACGTCCCTCACATCGGCGACCGCGGCCAGGCGTCGGCCTCGCGGCGTCACTCACCCGGCACCAGCTCCATGACGATCATGATGGGCTGCTTCTGCACTGCGATGCCGATGAAGCGCACGATGTTGGGGTGGTCGTACTGCTTGAGGATGCGGCCCTCCTGCAGGAACTTGCGCTTCTGCTCGTCGGGCAGCGTCACCTTGCACGTCTTGACGGCCACCAGCTCGCTGGTCAGGTGCAGTCGGGCCTTGTACACGTCGCCGAAGTTGCCCTGGCGGTCGGCGGAGCGCGCGGTGGGGTTAGAGCGCGCTGACGCTCCAGCCATAGGCACCTCGGATATTTGGCGGGATGGACCAGGCAAGTGCATTTTCTCCTGCTAAATGGGCGGGGCCAGTCCAAAGTGAACTTTGGGAGGACGCGTTGAATCATGGTCTGAATCTACTAATCATTCGGATAGTTCAACCCAATCATAGGCATTTAGGCAAATGTCACGAAAAAAATGTTGGCGACCTTAATGGTAGCCCAGGCCCTCGGGCCGGTGTCCCAGATATCGCAGCAATGCATTGTAGCGCGCTTCAAGATATCTTCTCATTTAATTGACACCATCAAAATACAGCACTTTCTCTTCCGGACACAGAATAGCATGCACAAAATACAAGCTATCGTCTGAAAACAGCTAATTAATACGACTAAGACAATGACAAAAGCAACACGCAGCAACACGCACGAGGCCGCACAAGCCGAGACAGACCACATCGGCAGGAGCCGCGATCCGTAACAACCCCCCGTGTAGCCGGCACTTGGCCGCTGCGCCGGGCCAGCCGGGCCAGCCGACAGCACCTCACCCGTCCGATCTTGTCGATGAGCTCGACGTCGTCGTTGTTGAGCTCCCAGCGCTCGCGCAGTATGGCCTGCCGCAGCACGGCGCCCGACTTGTTGGTCACGGCCAGGCCGCACTCGTGCTGGTACGCGATCAGCTCCTGGATGCTGGGGAACGACGGCCCCTCGAACCGGAACTGGCCCTGCGACGGCGGCCAAGGGCGGTGAGGGGCGGGCGCAGCGACGGCGGAGGTCCCGCCGGGGGGGGGGGGGGAGGGAAGGGCGCATCGACGGCGGAGGCCCCACATTCCACCAGCAAACGGGGGGGGGGGGGGGAGGACAGAGCGGACAGCAGACAGGTCTAGTGGTGGTACTGTACTGTAATTTAGGTGTCAAACCACACTTAGGATGCTTACTTGGCAGCTGTTAATCTTAAGCACATAATTTTCTTTTTGAGTATGTGGTCTACATGGTACATTAATCAATGCCGAAATGCAATCAAAATTTCAACCGACACCAGCAACGCTGTTCAACACCACTGAATCTTCTACTTCACCTTCGTTGACCCCCATTCAGTTCCACGCTAAACAAAATACCCGAAAACATTTCAAACACATCAGCTAAGTGGCATATGCATTACACCACCTAGGGCTGCAGGCTGCACTTCTTACGAAGGCGCTGCCATTCCTAACCTGACCCTCTTCCCACCAGCAATCATAACTGCGGCCAGCCACAGTCCGGCGATGCCGCGGGCCGCGTGGCGGCGTGGCTCACATTATCACACCAGAGGGTTGCAGACCGCACTCCTGGCGACGGCACCACAGTTCCTAACCTGACACCATTCCCACGAGCGATCCCAAACTCGGGCCAGACACGCCCCGGCGACGCCGCGGGCCGCGATGCGGCACGTCTCACTCACGTCCGAGGTGGTCTGCACGATGAAGTGTTTGTGGCCGCCCCAGGCCACCGAGAGCACCACCTGGGTCTCCTCGTTGCGCGTGGTCTGGCGCACCAGGTAGTCGCCGTCGTTGACCAGCAGGCGGACCACCTCCTCGCGGGGCAGCACGCCGTGGAACCAGTCCTCGTCCACCAGCGGGCGGTCCGGCTGCGGCGACATCTGCCGGAGGAACGGAAAACCTGTAGTATGGAGATAGACGACAGAGAGCAACAGCTAAAGCGTCGATACTTACCACAAGAATCATCTGCAATGACTACATGTGCAGAGAGTATCGAGAAAACGACATTATTACCATGTGTGACAAAATATAAAACTAGAGCTGACACCAGCATTGAGCACGACCTTACAGACACTGTGTAAACAGCATAGAGCACAAAAGAACGTTTTGTTTGTAGGTAGCCTAATGAATCACCTCGGCCTTAGGGCGCTGCGACATGTTCTGAGAGTATGTCACAGCGGTTGCATACGCAACCGAAGTAAGTGAGGGGGAAAGTCGCGAACAAAAGTCGTGAAGAAGGAGGATCAGCAAACACGCTCAAGCCAGAAAGCAACCAACAGACGGCCACAATGGGCAAGCGCACGGCATATCTCACCAGAAGCTGGATCGACACACGACCGAGCTTGGCGATGCGCCGTCGCTGCAGGCCCCGCTCGCCAGGAAGCGGGTCGCTGACCAACGGCATGGTGCCTAAACTGGGGCAAAGCCCCCATCGCCTGGCGCCCTTGCCAGAGCAGCCGGGGACACCAGCTCCGCATGTCCCGCCTAAGGTCGTTAACCGTCTCGCCTAAGGAAGTTAGATTTCCCGCCTAAGGCCGTTAATGTTCCGCCTATGGCCGTTAGTAGTGCAGAGCGCCTGGTAAGGTTCGGTGCCGGACCACCACCGCCCCGCCTGCCAGTCCCCGCCCGGGGTGCCATCCGAACACGGGGCGTCCTCTGACTGTGGGGTCCTCAGCCATGCTTCCCCTGCCCGCGCGCTCCGCCCTGACCGCCGCCGACTCACCGTCTGGTAGCCCTCGCTGGCCTGACTAACGGCCACGCTGACCTCCGAGGAGGCCGGCGCCGGCGCCCGGCTCGACTCCGCCTCCTCCGCCTCCAGGCTGGTCAGGCTGTCGTTCAGCGGGTCGCCGGCGGGCGCCGCGCCCGGCGGCCCCGCCCCGGTCGGGCTCGGCGTCGGCGACGGCCGCTTGTGGAACGGCTTGCGGATGATGTTGACGATCCGGTGCGACTTGGACAGGGTTAGCGACGAGCAGGCGCCCTGCGGTCGGGCGCGGCATGCGATCAGCGCGTGCCCCGGGCCGGCGCGCGGGCAGCAGCGCCGCAGCGACAGCTCCCAAACTGGCGCGTCGAAGCTCACGCCAGGTCATGCGCGGGGACACCGCAGACAAAACGGACGGCACGCCAAGCCCGGCCCTGGTGCTGCCTCGCGTGGAGCGTTGACAGGGCGACTACTGCTACAGAGACCGGCAGGCGCACACGCCAAGCGTCGCACACGGGACGGACGAGACTGAAGAGGGGTGGCGGCGGCAGGGAGAGGAGAAGCATGCTGACCTCGCCGAGCTCCTCCACCGCCTTGGGCGCCTCGCCGCCACCGAGCTCGTCCAGCGGCGTCTTGATCAGCTTGATGAGCTTCTGCAGCTTCTGCTCTGTGCACTGGGTCTCGCGGATGTCCTTTCGCAGGATCTCGCTGGCTCGGCGAATGACAAACAGCCTGACAAACAGGTGCACAGCTCAGATAGTCGCCTCGCCGGAACTGGCCGGACAGTTGAGAGCCGGAGGGTCCCCTCTGCACACACAGCTCTGACATGCTGACTTTTTACAACGAGAACAGCTGCGAATGCTATAGCGAGATAAACAATCCAGTCAATCAGCATGCTACCTAGTATACGTGATAAGAAAAGATAAGGCAGTAAAACGCAAAACAAAGCATCATTCACACCAAAAATAATGTACATTTTGCGGCCGCAGAAGCCAAAAGGGGGTGTAATCATGCTGATAAAAAGTACGCGTAACAAAAAAGTCACATATCATAATTATCGCATGGCTACAAAGATGTCATATTCCTTTTCCGTTCCCCACTCCTTCCGTACACACGCAAAAGGTTGCTTCGGAACACATGAGCGTTATCAGTCATAATTCACGGAAATTTCAGTTGCATGGGTCATCGGAATGAATGGAACTCGTTCTGTGGAAACAGAAAGCCATCACCCATTTCACATCGATGAAACATTTCGCTGGAACCAAAAAGTCCGAACTTGCCTTGAATTAAGCACCAAAACCACTGTCAAATAGTAAGCAGGTGTTTTGAACTTCTGATAGAAGGTAACCAGCTGCCGGAGAGGGTGGTCTTGTCTGACCCACCGGTTGACGCTGTCCTGCTGTTTCTTCAGACTCTCGACCTCCGCGTCGTGCTGACTCAGCTGCTTCCTCTTCTCGGCCAGCACGTTCCGCACGTCCGCCAGTCGGCTCTCCAGATCGGCCAGTCGCATCCTGCGCCAGCCACCCAGTCAGAAGCTGAACATAATCACGACCGCCCGTCCGCCGCACCGGTGTCCAGCCAACGACTCCGACGGCTCTACAGGTGGTTTGAACGCATCCTGCGACAGCCTGCCAGTAACTGAACATAACTTCGCCTTACATGCTAGCTCCGCCTTACTTACAGTACGGCAACTCGTCGACCGTGTCTAAGGACAGGCGCGTCGCATTTTGCGACACCCTGGCAGTAGCTGAACATAACCCATACTCTCATACACCGATCGTTATCCACCGCCGGCGCGAGTCCACGGCACGGTTCTACCAGTTAGCCAGTCGGATCCAACGACAACCCGCCAATAGCCGATCATAACACAGCCTCAAGGATCGGCACGTTCGGAGCGCCCAGTCGGCTACAGGAGGACCGACATCATCCCAAAGTTAGTGTACCAGAAGTTCTCAGTGGCGGCCTGACGCATTTTGACCCTCCCAGTCAGTAGCCACACATAACCCCTCCAGCCAGTCAATGTTGGTATCCGGGGTCAGCAACAGCTAAGCTCCGCTCTGCATATGCATCCTCGCGTCAATGACGGCAATCAATGAGGTAGCTTTATCTAGGGCTTCAGTTTTTGTTCAGGAAGTCTGCATCACTTGTGTGACTACTGGTTAACGTTTACGGCATGGAAATACGACGCATCTTTTATGGCATGGGAATACGGCGCACGTCTTGGCGAGCCCTTCTATGCAGTGTCAGCGGCCGCAATGGCCATATTAGGCCCCAGAGACCCATGACGCAGTTGGGATCCGAACCCCGACCCCACAGATGGGAGCCGAGGGCATCAAGCAGCAGCAGTATCTAAGCCCCCTCAAGGGGTTTTGTGAAGACCTAGGTGATCCAAAGGATAGACGAAACGGGTGGTACTCTTCACCATTTTATACCTATACATATATATATATATATATATATATATATATATATATATATATATATACTGGATGCCAGCAAGACAAGTTATGCTGCGTTGGAGCAGTGAGTTGGTTGACCATGCAGATGGTGTTAAAATCTAAGCCAATGTGGCCGGATACCATTGGAACCCGCAGCATTAGTTCGATCGATGCACCGGAAATTTTTCCGGTCATGAGAGGTAAGCATTTGGAGTCTGTGTCATAAAGCGTTCGCACGAATCCTTCCAGTCCCTCCCTCCCTCCCCCCACTCCTTAACTTTGACATTAGTGGGCCGAATCCGGGGAGAAACTAGGTTGTGGGTGTAATTTGGGGAGTTTTTTCATGTTTCGTCTGTTCAGCTCAACCCATTTTGCAGTACTACGGCCCTGTCTTGGTCCGTGTAAGTGCTGGTGCCCCACACAAACTGCGCCGTCCTCGCCGCCACATCTCGCTGAGAACTGCACCGGGCACCTCTGGCAGCCTCTCCCCCGCCTGGCCAGGAGCACCAAGGCACCGAGCCGGCGTGACCTCGGCTGACCTCAGGTTTCCGATCGTCAGATCGTCGACGGCCAGCGCCTCGGGCTTCAGGCGGCCCGAGTACTCCTCCATCATCTGGTAGTCGAAGAGGAAGCTGACGGGCGGCGGCGGCTGAGATCTGGCGGCACACAGACGCCGGCTCGTCGTGAGGTGCGGGCATCGGATGTGACCGCCCGGACACGGCTTGCCCGGACCGCCCGGGCACGGGTTAGGGTGTTGCCGCCGTCCATCACCGATCGAGCGCCTGACCGACGCCGAAGCGGCCCCGAGACACCGCCGAACGCGCGGCTGACGGCCAGCTGGGAGGCCCTCGAACCAGTCACACGCAGCCAGTGCTGGAAGCGCAGTCATCATCGCCAACGACACACGAAACAAGACTGTCGCCGGCTATTTCCACGATGGCGGGCCGAACATCTATAAAAATGACAAGCGCGGACTGGACCACAACGGCACCACCCGTGACAGAGCCGACAGCATCACGTAGGAGCACCGGCATCAGCATCACCAGAAAAATAACAGTACACAGCACCCGCAGCAGCAACGCAGCGCCAGCAGTCGCACCAACACCAACGCTGCATCACCAGCACCATAAGCAGCAGGACACCTCCCGCGCGCGCCGCAGCAGATACCGCCCTTGCCCGCCCCCTCAGCAGCACCCGGGCGCTCACTTGTGGCGGTCGGTGAACTCGCGGTACTCGCCGTCCGTGGTGATGGCCGAGATGCTGCCATTGACGCGCTTCTGAATCTCCAGGTGCTTGTCCGTGCTGAAGCTGGTCAGTTCGGCCGCCGACCGCATGATGGCGCACCTGTCGCGGTTCATGTCGGCTCAGCGGCGGAGTCGGCGAACGCGGATAGCTCGTGCCACGCGACGGATTTGTCCGCCGCAGACGCGAACAAAGAGGGACGGATCGACGGCTGGAGAAGGGCCAACATTTCCAGACGGCTACTTTTCCAGCCGCCTGGGATCCTCGCCGGTAAGGGTCGCGAGAGCGGATCATGCACGACGCTGGCTTCAGGCTCACACTGTAAGGCAGTAAAGGAAGCGTCACGAATGGAACGCGGAAAACCCGACGGTATTTATCGTTCGGACGTCGAGAACGTCAAGTGATTGCGACACACGAAGGACATTGACAGTGGCACGTGGAACTTCCCACAAATACCCACGGCAACCGCAAACAACCCTGTTGCCCCACTCGGAAAGTCGATACATGGCGGACCTTGTTTGTACGAAGCGCCGCGCCACAGTAATTCCTAACGATGTTTTATGCACCGTCTCCACTATCCTGCGATGTCCGCCACACATGCCATGGTGCCCCAGCGCCCCACAGCGCATCGGCTCGAATATTAACTAGGGACGCCCGCCGCTGATCTGCTATGACAACCGGATAAACAAGCAACAAACGAGGGAGCTGCACCCGTCCCAGCCGCCGACGCCGAGCTGGTCCGGAGCCAGCGGCGCCTGACGAGCCGCCGCCGCCGCCGCCGCCGCCGCCGTCGCCGCCGCCGCCGCTCGCTGCCTCCCGACCTTCCGCGGCGGCCGCCACCGCAGCACGGCACGTACCGCGAAGGGCAGCCACTTCCTCTCTGCCGCCCCTCAGCCCCCTCCCCCCCCCCCCTCCCAGCTGAGAGTTTCATCCAGCGGCATCACGTCCTACGCCATTCCTAGGCCGCACCGTGTGAGTGGACGAGCAGGAAACCGCTCTATTTCACATCAGGGTGGAGGCAGTTCTGGATGGCCCACTGTCAGCCGCAGCTGGTCGACTGCCCGGGCCACGCAGCTGTTTCAGTGGCATTACGATCATTAAAGGGAATGTTTCACGTCTGAAGATATTGAGGCAAGCATCAGATATGAGGAAACAAAACTTTTTTAGAAGAAAAGACCGCTCTAGACGGCACAATGCTCTGGCTCCTCCATGCGTCATGGTTTGATTACGTCATCGTACCTTGCACGGCGTTGACTGAGAGCCAATTGACGGCCGCTACATCTGGAAATCGCGCCCACGAACGCCAGATATGAAAGCCTCGACAATTATCTCTTTCTGGCCTTGATGGCTGCATGGCTCATCGAATGACAGGATTTGAATGACGTCATGAATGCCAAGGTGACTTTGAAATACTCTTCCTGTTTTCGCGGGCGTGAAGCTGAGAAACTAGGGAGGCTAAGTCTTAAGAGGGGCAGGATTGTGAACAGCACAGAAAGGTCTTCAAGAAGGCTATTTCAATTCAAAACCCCCTAAAAATGTGCAACACTCCCTTCAAATGACTGGTGAATAGCAAGAATCAGTGAAAATGACGAGTTCATCCAAATTATAGTTCGTGCGTTCACTCTGCACAAATCAAAACAGACGTAAGCTGCAGTTCCGCTCTATGAAACAGAGCTCAGGTCGGGCGGCGTCAGCTGGCAGCCGGGTGGTCAGACGGCAGTCGCCGAGGCCACGCGCTGCTCGCCGCGTTCCCCGCCGGCTGACACGGGCGCCGGCCTCACTGGCGGACACGGACGCGCCGGCACGGCCTGCGATCCCCGGCGCCCATGCGGACACCTGTCTCTCAGGACGACAGCCGCCGATGCTTCGGACGAATACGGCTGCCGGTCTCTAAGACTGGCACTGTCACCGATCTCCGGGACCGGCACGGTCACCGATCTCTGGGACTGGCACGGCCGCCGATCTCTGGGACCGGCACGGTCGCCGATCTCTGGGACCGGCACGGCCGCCGATCTCTGAAACTGGCACGGTCGCCGGTCTCTGGGACCGGCACGGTCGCCGATCTCCGGGACTGGCACGGTCGCCGATCTCTGGGACTGGCACGGTCGCCGATCTCTGGGACTGGCACGGTCGCCGATCTCTGGGACCGGCACGGTCGCCGATCTCTGGGACTGGCACGGTCGCCGATCTCTGGGACCGGCACGGTCGCCGATCTCCGGGACCGGCACGGTTGCCGATCTCTGGGACCGGCACGGCCGCCGATCTCTGGGACTGGCACGGTCGCCGATCTCTGGGACTGGCACGGTCGCCGATCTCTGGGACCGGCACGGTCGCCGATCTCTGGGACCGGCGCGGTCGCCGATCTCTGGGACCGGCACGGTCGCCGATCTCCGGGACTGGCACGGTCGCCGATCTCCGGGACTGGCACTGTCACCGATCTCTGGGACTGGCACGGTCGCCGATCTCTGGGACCGACACGGTCGCCGATCTCTGGGACCGGCACGGTCGCCGATCTCTGGGGCCGCGACGGCCGGGCGCGGGTCGGTTCGCTCGGTCGGAACCGCCGTATCCGTCACGGTTCGCTGACAGCTATCCCGGAGAACGGAGCAAGCAATGACCTCAACGACCCCGAGCCGTGCCAGCGGCACCCCCTGGAGCACTGAGCTGCGGAGCGGCGGCGCTGGGCTGTTCTGCTGGCCGGCGCTAATCTAACCTGACAGTTTTTAAACTGCTTTGAATAGTTCACTTACTTAGTGTTGTCCAATCGCTAGCGAGCTACGCTGGCCGTGCCGTTAAGTCTCACCGGTGGTCACTTACCGCGGGCCTCGGGCTGCGTGTCAACGGAGCCCATAGCGCGTTAGCCAGTCTATAGTCCCCACACAACGTCCGTTGACAAATTATACCGAGCGGGCTGGAGCAGACGACCTCCTCCACCAAGACTCTTCATCACGACCAATGTAACCTGCGTTTCTGTGACGTTACAACGAATAACAACCAGAGGTTGCACGGAACAACGACGAACACTTCTCAACACAAAGCTCTTTGGGCATTTCCTCCTTCCTCCGCCGTCCCCGGTCTACCATCGATCTTTCCCCATGCCTCCACATCACTGCCTGCTGACGCTCCAGACGGGCGCCGAAGACTCACCAGCGTTCCACCATGTCCTCCTGCACCAGCTGCTGGTACTCCAGCAGCGCCGGCAGCAGCACGGTGCGGAAGTCGCGCTCGTACTGGCTCGCCTCCAGCAGCAGCAGCACGTACTCGTTGTGCGCGTTGTGCAGGCGGCGGCAAGCTTTCACGTACCGGTCCTTCACCTCGTCCAGCTTCCGGCCCGCCTTGCCTGCCGGCGCAGTAGTGGTTAGAGCGCCGCATCGACAGCTGTCCACCAACGGACGGATTCTCCGCTGGGGCAGGATTTTTGCAGTTTTGGCTATGGCATGACGCATGTTGATTTGACTGTCGTAACTTGGCCACGTCCTCCACAAAATACAATTTATCGGAGAAACGCGCTTCATGTGACTCAAATCGATTAACCCTTCCAAGCAGCCCATAAGACCACTCTCTCCGCGTTAAGTCGATAAACCCCGCGCCCGCCTCCCAGCATAGCCGTGGCGGAGCGCGTGGGTTCGAGCCGCTTCAGCGCCAGATATCTGCCCCTGGCTGGGATCGCCTGCGGCCGGCGCTAGCGACCGCTCACGGTAAGACGAGGTCAGAGGCCGGAGCGGACCGTGACCAGTATTGCGGTATTTAACCTTTCGGTACCAAATTCTGCATTGGCCTGAACTTTCACGACCTGATGGTGGGCTCAGGGCTCACGTAACAAGCCCTGCTTAGCGTGGGCTCTGATCCCGAAAATCCATCCAATCAAAACGCTGGAACTGCTTCAAGACCGCTCATGAGGTCACTATTCCGGCGCAAAGTCGGACTTGATTCTTAGAAAGCGCAACTATAACTAAGCCGCACACGAGGTGCACGGTTCGGTTCAGAACCGCGGGCGACCCGGCGAAGTTTGGACTTGAATAACCTTCTTGTGGCAATGGAAACTGGCGATAACAATGAAGAGCAAAGAAGCTCCCCTTCAGGGGACTCAAGAACCACCAGCTGGCACTGCTGCAGTCGGCAAAAGAATACGATGACTGTTCATCCGCGACAGGCCAGACAGATTATCTACAATAAGCTCACAAACGGTGTGATTTTCCTCTCCGATGGTCCAGATGTAAGAGCTTGGCAGACACAACATCGATGGAAGACTTCACATGCTGTCAATGTGATTGATGATGGCCAATACGTGAAGCGGCAGGCCGAGGTGTTGCCGAGGGGCTTAAATAGTTATTATGGCATGGCAGACGCCTTGACATATGGCGATCACTGGTGTGTCGATGGAAACAAGCTTATATGCACTTAACTTTGTATAGCGTATCACATGGTCCAAGCTCGTGTGCCTCTGGTTAAACGGCAACTTCAAGAAAGGAGCACAATAGAACCTAAGTTGTATGCTGCCACCCGGCAATGCGCGAAAATCAGCAACTGAACAACACTGCCTACTCAAAGCTGACAAGGCTTCTCGCTAATATATATTTTCAGGCACTATCCAGTCCGTATACCTGTCTGGATGTTGTCCTTTCAAGGTGGCACATCGAATGCATGTTTCAACCTGCTTGGAGCGGTCAGGGAAGATATCAAACTACTAGTTTTTTTCCAATCGTTAGCGACATATGATATCAGAATGTCTCCAATACATCAGGAAGAGCATGTGAAACGAGTATATATATATATATATATATATATATATATATATATATATATTATATATTTATATAACGAAAGCTATCTGTTTTCTGTTTTATCTAGTACAAACAAATGCCAAAAAATTGACGTTTACAGTACCTCTGTAAGTGTTCGTTAAGTGCTTCAAACAAAACGCTTTTAATAAAACTCTTTTTACAAGTTCCTCACAGGATAATGGTGGTCGGACACTTTTCAGCACCGTTATCATTTTTCGTTAACAATGATTATTGGCTACCTACCTCCAAACTTCTTTCGGACGCAAGTACTTCATATCGCCACATCACGAGCCTTTTGAGAAAACGCGGCACACAAAGTGCACGTTAACTCTGAACAGCAATCAAACTTTTCGGTCCACATATGCACTAAATTTCTTAGGGCAGAAAGAAAACAAAATTTTCGTATAATATCTTAAATTGCAAGTGTAAAGAATCAAATCAGCCATGCGCTAACCGCTATTCCGATAAATGCTGGTGGTATATCGGTCTTATTGGAAACGTTGCAACGTACATTGGTAAAACTAAATCACGGCAATGCGTGAGCAGCAGTGTTTTTACGAGGCCCAGCGTAAGGGTCGAGATTTACGTAGAGCGTTATGCCGACAAGAACTGTGTCGACCGTTGGGATTCCCCGTTGTACAGCGGAAGACAAACTGCGCTAGCCGGTCCAGGCAACCTAGCTGTGGCCCATCGTACCGCCAAACCCCAGCAGACTTTTTGCACCATCACGACTTCAAGCCAACATGCCCGCCACCGCCACCGCCCATCTACCAGTGCTTCCAGCCATTCGGCTACGAGCCCATGCCCATCTGCCCACCCATGCCGATTGTCTGTAGCGACGCTACACGACCATTCGCTCCGAGCATGCCGGCCGAAACGATCCTGTCGGGCTTCCGCAACGCGCACAGCGAGCCGGGATTCCAGACCATGACCAGCGGCTACTCAAACACCTTCCGCATGCCGTGCGACTTCATGTCCAACTTCCAAGTCGTGCACACGATGGTGAACCCGTGTCCGCCGGCGGTGACCTGCACCCGTGGTGACGCGCCGCGCATCACCTGCCTGCGGTGCCCGACGATGGTCGGCTACGTGCCGGACAAGGTGGTCATCACCGAGCTGGCCGACGACGAGTGCCAGCAAATGGGGCTCTGCGGCTACCGCAAGGCGGCCGACTGTTATGAAGTGGTGCCGCGGCCCTTCTTGCCCACCTCGCTGCCCGGACTGGGCGACGCTGGCGACTACCCGCCCAAGCCGTGGCGCGACCCGTGCGGCGGACGCATCTACCACCGGCTCTCCGACAACGACTTCATCCAGCAGTGGGGGAGTCCGTTCTAAATGGTGACGGCCGCAAGTGGTGATGAATGAAGTCCGTTTTAAGACGCTGCAAGCTGCCTATGCCAAAGTGATCCCCTTTGTTGATTTGTTTCTGTCCACATGAGAAATGAAAACCGCCTGTGATAAAATTGAAAATTTTCAGTTCCACCTGACCGGGTGTCTACGTAATAAAACCCCCTAAAAATTGGAACACGAATTTTGTGGAGCGGTCGGCACTATCTGTCAAAAATCGATGGTGGCTTCCTGCTTCTGATCGCCCGCCATTTCGCCTTCTTTCACTTCCCGCCTTCCCTGGACACGACAGCGCAGCGTCCTTCGGCTTTATCGACTCCGACCCTTCCATTGTTCTGCGACACGTGGCACTGTTATGGTTGTTCATACCGCAATCTTTCCGACCGATCGAAGCGGGGAAGCCGGGACTCAGCCGGTTCTGAATGTAAAACCAACAGCCTCGAGGTCAACAGGTGGGCAATTCGCCACAGTTCTGAGACGTCCTTAATGGGCGTAGCATGGGACCACCGGCCACACAAAGCACCCCCGAGTCACGAAGAGAAGCACACGACCTAGGCGCAGCATGTCGCTTTGCATGCCTGGTAACTCAGCAGTAACATACGCAAGCTTCTCATGTCATGGCCGCTTGCATCCAAATTATTTAAATTAGACTTGGGCAACAGCAAGACTTACTGCAGGCTGTGATGAAGACAGCTGGGATTTGTGCAAACTTACCTTTGACAAACTGATCTTCGTAACGTGCTTTGGCGATCTTGTAGATCTCGAGATTCTTCTCATACTCAGCTTTCAGTTTGGAGACGTTCTCCTGGTACTGAAAGAAACCGGCTGACGTCAGATTGATTTGGCTGCTTACTGGAAGCACAGAGCAAGCCAAGGACAAAAGTTCTTTTATGCAAAGCTAGTGTCATCGAACGCCATCTCAATGCCAGGAAAATCATCAGGCCGCATGAGAGTCGCGAGGAGCATGTTTGCGATACGGACAATCGCCTCTGCCGTGCCGGTCGCCTCCCAGCCCAGCAGAAGCTTGGCGCCGACGGCGGCAGAGCGTCAGTGGCGGCCGGCACCGACGCGAGCCGCTGCACCAGCTGCACCGTACATGGCGGGCCGGGGAGGCGCAGGGCAGTTCGTGGCCGGCGGTCGGACGGGCCTACCTACCGCTCCGCCCGAGTCGGTGATCTTGTTACAACACCGCCTGATCGTCCCACCCGCAGAACGAGTTCGTGAGCGGTGAGTCCCAGCCTTGACCTACCTGCTGACCTCGCGCCGGGCCGGCTCCAATGATCCCGGACGATAACTAATCAACGTGCTGATAACGGCGCTTAGCTCCATGCAGCGCACAAAACGGATCTGTGCAAGGCCAGTTCGCTCGATAAGTGGATGCGGAGGCAAGCGAATGCATCTGTGGGTACTGCCGTCATCTCACATTTGATGGGATGATGAAAATGACAGCTTGATGTCAGGTGTCTTTCAAGTGCTGCGTATAACAGCCAAAAAAGGCTTCGATGGCGTGGAAAACTGGAATCAAACGGTGGAAACGATCACGAAGTACCAATAATACATTTTCCGCGAGACTCAGCGCTTTCTGCTCACATTTTAGGGTTTTTTCTCATGCTAAACTGAACTCCGTGGCGCTTATACTTTGCATTCATATGGAGTCCCGCTCCGGCATATCGCCTTCCAATGAGCTGGCAGCACACACTTCTGGCAGAATGACGCCTGCGCAGTAAGCGACAGCACAGTGACGACAAAGTCGCCGACACATCCAATCAATCCTCTCCGGCGCCGCGTAACATATTCAAAGCATCGCAGCGCTCGCGTGTTCCTCTCACCGGCATCACAGGCGAGTACGTGCTGCGTCGGCGCCGCGGTCAGCCGGGCCGTCGCCGCGCCGACCGGTCGCGGGCTTTGCATAATCGGGCGGCCGGAAGCGGCCGGGCCCGGCGTCGCGCAAGGTCACGGCCAACGGAAGCGGGTAACGTCCGGGCCACGACCGGCCAGGACGGGCTCAGACGGCGGCGGGCGGCACGGATCGGGGCGGGGCGGACCGGCCCGCTGCACGGTCCCCGAGGCGCCGGCACGCCGCGACGGCGCGCCGGGGTCCGTTCTGACGAGGACGGGAGGGCTCGTCGCCAGCGGGCGCCGAAACCAGCCAGCGTGGAGGTCGAAGCTGTCGGCACGACGGCTATAGCCGGCGCTCCGTGATAGTAAAAACGCGAAGTCGAGCGAGTGCTTCTTAAGAGCATGGCGTGCACTGAGTCTGGGCGTTTCGTGAGAGCGTACGAGATCTTTCGAGGCCAGAAGAGACCATCCTGAGAGGAGCGGGTCTGAAGAGCCCAGCCAATGGTGAGTGAGTACCCAAACGAGCACACACCCGAGACCACACGAGAGCACAACACGCCAACCCATCACGGCCAACCGCCGATGAGGAACCGGTTGGATAAAACTCGGCACCAGAAACTCACACCAATCCGCTGGCACCGACATATCAAGGCACGTTCAAAAGACTGTTCGCCTTGCCATGAGCGTCGCTTGGTGCGTGCCTGCGTCCACTGTCCACGGTGCTGGACTCACATCGGTAGACAGACCGACCGGCACAGAAGTGAGAGCAAAGCCTCATCAGCGCAAATGGTCTTCCCCCAATAGAGACGATCGCGGCTGGAAGAGACACGACCACCCGGCACCAGCTGAGGTACGCGCGCCGCGCCGCCGACACCCTTCCCGCCCACTGTGTCGGCTGTCACCAGACGGGGCAGATGGCCGCCGGCAGCGGGCCGCCCGTCGCCCCGAGCACCCGGGCCGCGCTGGCCGCCCGGAGCCACCGCACGGGCGCATACCGTTCCGGTCGACGGCACGCTCTGGCGCGCCGTCGCGGCGTCGGCCGCGCCGCAGCAGCGCCGAGCGGGAGGAGGGCCGCGAGGGTGCCGGGTCGCGCGGGAGGAGGATCGCGCGGGAGAAGACCACGCGGGAGGAGGGCCGCGCGGGAAAAGGATCGCGCGGGAGGAGGATCGCGCGGGAGAAAACCGCGCGGGAGAGAACCGCGCGGGAGGAGGGCCGCACGAGAGGAGGGCCACGCGGGAGGAGGGCCGCGCGGGTGCAGGGTCGCGCCGGAGGACGGCGCGGCGTCGCCAGGTCGACCGTCACGGCCCGCCGCGCGCGCCGGCGCACCATTAGAGGGAGAGCTAGGAGACCCGGGGAGATCGCCGGCCGGCTGCGGCTGGCGACGGGCGCCCAGCCGAGCGGCAGCACGGATCCACCGGCGCCGCTGGATGTCCCGTCAGCTGGGAGGCAGCCTTTGAGACCGCTCAATTTATTTTCAGCACAAGGAACTGATTGGCACATAAGTCTGGAAGCGTCAAACGCCGCCGAGGAAAACGGTAAAAAGTTGCGAGACCCGAGCTCAAGACCTCCCAGTCACGAATTGTGCACGATCACGCTGGTGCCCGCCTCCTCAGCTGGGCAGCATCAGGCACCGAGCTAGGCTAACCTACAGCGCGGGATGTTGACCATGCAAGGTTAAACACGTACCTATACAGATGTTTGCCTTGCATCGAAGTAAAAAGGGATTGAAAGAACAAACTTCATAACGAAAACCAGCCCACGGAAAACTAAAAACGCTGGATCTTGCTCCAGTTGTGTCCAACGTGACCAAACGACAATGGCGGCTTCTAAGCGTGAGTGCTCACCCAAAGTAGCCACCAACGACGAGCTATGGGCGCAGTAACTGCCCGCACGGGTCTCGACTGACGCCGGCCAGCGCCTGCTGGCCAGCGCCCTGTCTGGCCGCGACGTCTCCACTAGCCGGCCGCCAGCTGTGGCAGCTCTTTCATGGGCCGTGGCGGATCGGACACGATCGCTTAACAGCGGCCGGGCCCGCTGCCACGGCGGCCGGGCGGCGGCACCGGCGGCGGCGCCAGCGGAGGCGGCCGGCCGGCTACCGCACGTGGGCGAAACTCGCCGCAAACGTCAAACCGGGCCGTGTTTCTCGCGCCACACGGCGACTGCCGCCACAGCTGCGGAATGAGAAAGGCACAAATATTTCCATCGAGTGCTTTTATGAACGCTGTAGCCGGCACTAGGTTCTCCCAGGGGATCCCGCATGCGGTGAAGCGTTAGAGAGAACGCTGAAAGGGCCTCCCTGGACGTCCAGAGGGCCTACCTGAAGCGCACTTTGCAGTCGACATATCCAGCGCAAGAAGGCTGAACCCTACTGTTCAGACCAGAGCACTGCATATCGTTCACGGAAAATTTCAGCACTGGTAAAACAGCCGCCATGTTTGCATTTAAGTTGACAGCGGCTTAACATTTAATCCTGTATTGATATGTTGCCGCAATCTAGACCCTAGTTCATGGACACATCATTTCAACCAAGCGCTGCGAAAGACGTAAGCCAGAAGTCTTTATTCAGACTTCCGTGCCTTGCTCGCGCATCTTTCTAAGCAGGTACTGTGGCCACATGACTGCCAACACGCCACACAACGGATGCCAGTCAACCTTTTTACCACTCCTCTGTCATCGCAGCCACAAATCGCGGAGACCTCCCACGACAGATCCAAGACCTTGCGCCCACGCATATTGTCGTCGCCTCCCAAAGCTCCAAGGCTCCTGCTCGCAGTGTGTACCGGTTTCTATGGCGCTGCCATCGGCTCAGTGCAGGGGTCAATACAAACCCTGTTGACCTGTGCGCGCTGCCGCGATAGCGCTGTTTTGGTCCGTGTCGCCAGGGGGATGGCGCGCTGCCCTGGCGCCGGGGGCACCCCGGGCGGCACCAGTCGTCCTCCGATGGCCGCCATGAGGAGCTGGGTAGTGCTGGCCCTCCTGGGCCTGGTGGCCGCCGGCGCCAGCGGCCAGTCCCAGCTGATGAATGTGCTCGACATCGACGTGAAGGTGCTGGCAGAGATGGCTGGGGTCGAAGTCCCCTCGATCAAGTCGGCCGACTCGGACGGCCTGCAGCCCTGCAATATCACGGTTTCCCCGCAGGTGGAAGAGGCCTCCAAAGCCTGCGCCGCCGAGCTGGAGGAACAGGATGACGCCGAAGCAGAAGATGAGGCAGGTGGGGAAGAAGACGGGAGAGGAGGGAGGGGAGGGAGGGGAGGACGAGGAGGGCGGAGAGGTGGGAGAGGAGGGGAAGACGAAGACGAGGAAGAGATGGATGAAGAGAGAGGAGGACGAGGAGGAAGAAGGGGAGAAGACGAAGGTCGCGGCGGTGGGCGGTCCGGAAGACGTGGAAAGAGGGAGGCGAGGAGACCGGGAGGAAGAGGAGGCCGGGGAGGAGGCAGGGGAGGCGGCAGGCGAGGAGGCCGGAGAGGAGGCGGGCGAGGTTCCGCAAGCAAGGTCGACGAAAATGCGATACAGCAGTGCGTCTTCGAAAAGCTGAACTTGCTCGACTCCGAAGGGTCGCTGAAGCTCGACAGCATGAAAACGCTGATCAAAACCTACCAGGGCGCTCAAACGGGTAAGGAGGTCATGCTCAGGATGACGGAGCTGTGCTACGAAACTGTCGCAGATGTCGAATCAGACAAGCAGGTGAGGATGCTGATGCAATGCGTGAAGAAGAGCATGGCGTCGGCCTGCCCGGCGCACGACCTCAAGCTGCAGAGCCCGGCGCTGGCGCTGCTGAAGACCAGATTAGCGGCCCGGAAGTGCTTCAGTGCGCTGCAGCCGCCGCCGCAGATGGTCCTGGCGCAGTTGCGGTGCGGCGCCGCCGAGATGGTGACGCTGGCCGACAAGCGGCTCGCCGCCCTGGAGGCCAAGGCACGCAGGCGCCGCTCTCCGCAGAAGGGGGACCGTGACGGCGGCAGGGGCGGCGGCAGG